AGCTTGTGTTCAGTGGGCAGTAGAGTGGCAGGGACTCCAGGTATGGGGAGGGTGCTATTCAACAGGGAGTCTGGAGATGGCATCTGAGTAAGTCCAGAGAGGTACTCAGAAGTTGGAGTTCTGGGATGCCTGGGTGGCTCAGGCAGATGAGCAGATGAGCATCTGCCTTCAGCTCAGGTCATCTTTGGGTCCTGGGATTAAGTCCTGAGTTGGGCTCCTTGCTCATCAGAGTCTACTTCTCCCTTTGCACCCCACACCTCCTCTTATACTCTCTCTCTCTGTTCCTCAAATAAATAAATAAATAAATAAATAAATAAATAAATTAATTAATTAAAATCTTAAAAAAAAAAAAAAGAAGTTGGACATGAAGCCAGAAGCTGGGTGGGGCAGATACTCTGTCAGTTTCCCCAGGCTGAAAATTGAAGAGAATAATGATTGTGATAATGGTCTTACTCTTTGTACCCTTTCTTTTTTTTTAATTTTTATTTATTTATGATAGTCACACAGAATGAGAGAGGGAGGCAGAGACATAGGCAGAGGGAGAAGCAGGCTTCATGCACTGGGAGCCCGACGTGGGATTCGATCCCGGGTCTCCAGGATTGCGCCCTGGGCCAAAGGCAGGCGCCAAACCACTGCGCCACCCAGGGATCCCTCTTTGTACCCTTTCACCCAGCTGCTGGACAACCTCCATGTGTTCAACTTTCCCTGCAGTACTTGGAACCCCTGCCAGTTTCTCTACCTTATTTTGCAAAGCCGTGTTTCTGAAGCCTCCTCTTTCCAAATGACAGGGAGGTATACATATGGTGCAGCTTATGTTTCTATTTAGAGTTAGGGATTTGAAAAGAGAGGGTACACACCTGTGGATAAGCATTTGTGTGCATGCTCGTGTGGGCTTTTAGGTGTGAACATGCATGTGCCTGTGCATGTGCTTGTATGAACTCACATGGTTGTGCATTTACTCATGTTCATAGGCATGTGACCTTCTGAATGACTCCCTGAGCATGTAGATTGGTATGTGTTTGAAGTATATACACATGCACTTATGAACATGCATGTGTGCCCATGACTGTGTGTGTGTGTGTGTGTGTGTGTGTGGTGTGGTAGGACATACCTCATGTGCATCTCAGTTTGTGTGCATGTTTGCACATATGTGCTTTTGTGTATCTGTGTGTATATGGTGCAAGCTTGCTTCTCTGCATGCCCCAGGAGGCACCAAGGCAAGTGCAAACCATAAGGAATGAAGGAATGATCTGTATAATTTAGCCTTTGCTCTTGGGCCACCCTCAAATCCTCCTTTGCTCTCACTTCAGCTGCCAAGCTATTTCCTCAGCCCTGTGGAGCCCATCTTTGAACTTTGTCTTGTAGAAGCCTCGGCCTTTCCTTACTACCACACCAGAGAAACAGGGCTTACAAGGGTAATGATCATTTATTGAGCACCTATGGTGCACCAAGCACCTGTACCAGAAGTTTCACATACATTCTCAAATCTTGCCAGCAATCCCACAAAGTATGACAATTGTTCCCGTTTGACATTTGAGGAAGTTGAGGATCAGGGGGATTCAGCAGTTTGTCTTAGTGGTGGAGCTAGAATTTGAACTTGAGACTGTTCGCCTTCACAAAATTGTCTTCTAGGAGCATGCCCATCTACCCACAGGTACAGAGAAGATGAAGTGTTGCAGTCAGAGCTCCTGGGGAGGGGGATGAGTTGAGAGACACAGATGTGAGGGGAAAGGGAGTGCAAGCAGGAATCAGTAGGGGGTGCAAAAGGCTGTGCTTCCTTAGTTTTCATAAGGAGGGCAGGATTGAGAAATCCCAGGTGTGCAAATGGTTCACTGAGCGGAGAGAACAAGGGACAGACCTAGAGCAGAAACAGCAAAGATGAAAAAAAAACAAACAAACATCATCTTTGCCACCACTTGCTTCGGGATCCTGACTAGGCTACATCAGATCTCTCCGTTTTCTCAACTGGGAAATATATCTAGGAGATGGGTTTTAGAGGCCCGGGATTGAGTCCTGCATCGGGCTTCCTACATGGAGTCTGCTTCTCCCTCTGCCTGTGTCTCAGTCTCATTCTCTCTCTTCTCTCTCTCTCTCTTTCCTTCTGTGTCTCTTATGAATAAATAAATAAAATATATATATTTTTTAAAAAGAAGCTCTTACTAAAACTAGTATTTGTTGATCTACTGAACTAAGTCATGCAACCTCATAATCAACTTGTGAAATAGCTACTATCATTGTTACCATTTTATAGATGAGGATACCAAGGCTTTGAGAGGATACATTGCTTGCCCAAGTGGCAGAGCAGGACACAAACCTGGGGGCTCTCTGACCCCCCAAAACTCTACTAGGCTTCCTTGTTTTAAAGTTTAAAACAGGGCTGACTGGGTGGCTCAGCAGTTGAGCATCTGCCTTCACGCTCACAGTGTGATCCTGGGATCCGGGATCAAGTCCCATGTTGGGCTGCCTGCAGGCAGCCTGCTTCTCCCTCTGCCTATGTTTCTGCCTCTGTGTGTGTGTGTGCATCTCTCATGAATAAACAAATCTTAAAAAAAAATAGAGTTTATTTTTTTTTATTATTTATTTATGATAGTCACACAGAGAGAGAGAGGCAGAGACACAGGCAGAGGGAGAAGCAGGCTCCATGCACCAGGAGCCCGATGTGGGATTTGATCCCGGGTCTCCAGGATCGCGCCCTGGGCCAAAGGCAGACGCTAAACCGCTGCACCACCCAGGGATCCCAAAAAATAGAGTTTAAAACAAATAGTATATAAAATACCAGAGACATAGTAGGCACTCAACAAAGGGTAGCTAGTGATGAAGCTGATGATGATGAAGTAGGAGGAAGAGAAGGAGGAGGGATAGAAGAAAGAAGAAAAGGTATTTTGCTAAGAGTTGAGGTGGCATTCAATTCCTCGGGTGTCAAAATTTCTAGAAAATCCCACAGTTAGTGATCATTTTTAGAACCAAAAGTTGCCTTCCATAGAGAGGGCAGTGATGATACCTGTTCCTGTGGCACCCAGGCCAGACTCAAAACCCAGCCACCACTTTGTAGCTCTGTGGCCCTGAGTACCCTAACATCTCTGTCCATTATTTCCTTATCTAGAATGTGAGGATAATAATAGCCCTGCCTGGTTCCTCAAAAAGTTAAACATAAAGTTAGTAAGTAATTGACCCAATTATTCCATTCCTAGGTGTTTACTGAAGAGAAAGGAAAACAGATGTCCACACAAAAACTCTTACATAAATGTTTATGGTGGCATTATTCATTGACAGCTAAAAAGTGGAAACAGCCCAAATCTCTCTCATCTGGTAAAAAGGATAAGCAAAACATGGTTTGCTCTTCCAATGGGCTAGTATTCAGCAGTAAAAGGGAGTGAAGTACTGATATGAGCTTACAATGTGAGTACAATGTGAATGATCCTTGAAAACGTAATACTAAGCAGAAGAAGCTAGTCACAAAAGACCACAAAGTGTCTAATTCCACTTATATGAGATGTCCAGAAAAGACATGGACTCTCCCATAGAGAGTAAATAGGTGGTCACTAGAGGGAAGATGGAGAGTGGCTACTAATGAGTGGTGGGATTCCTTTTTGGGGTGATGAAAATGTCTGGAATTAGAGAGTGGTGATGAGTGCACAACCTTGTGAATATACCAAAAACCACCGAATTGTATACTTTAAAAGAAGGAATTTTGTGGCATGTGAATTACATCTCAATAAAAAAATATAATTTGGTATTTTGGTGAAGCTTCAATGAGATCATTTAGGTAAATCCCTTAGCACAGAAGCCTGCTTTGCAGTAAGCACTCATTTGATGCTACATAATTCGAATAAAAGCTAGCTACTATGACCATTATTTTCATTACTGGACTAGCTGGGGATTTTAGTTCCTTAACCTCCCAGAGCTTCAGACTCCTCACCTACAAACAGGAGTAACAGTACCTGAATTGGTTAAGATTTCTTAGCTATGGGCAACAGACACCTACTCGGGCTCATGAGTGAAAAAGGAATGCAATGCTTGGTGCAAAGGACAAATAACCAGGCTCAGAAAGAAAAGATCCAAGGGGCAGAATCTAACAAAGAATAACTGAGAAACTATGGACTTACTGGTGAAATACATGGTCCAAATATAGGCTATTGGGGTTTGAACCTAGCTCTGCCCAGAAAGGTTTGTGTGGCTTTGCTTTGTTCCCCTGTTAGACAGGGAAGAGAGGTAGTATTTCGAGGATTGAATGAATTAAGTCTATACACCTATCATCGTGCCTTGCACTCAAAACTTTCAATAATAATATTATTATTGATGGGGCCTTATTGCTGGGATGATTCAGTTTAACAGTTTCTCTGACACTGCATGGCTCTGTCCAAAGTTCAAAATCCTAGGGAGTATGATGGGTCTAGCTAGGGTCACTTACCTACTCTCCTACTCCAGGGGAGGCTGGAAAATCTTGATTGACAGCTTCACTGAGATTATCAGACTTGGGGCAGAGTTGATGGCCAACGCAGAATCCAGCAGAAAGGCAAGGAGGCACTTAGCAACAAAACCAACCTGGGCGGGCAGCCCTGGTGGCTCAGCGGGTTTGGCGCCGCCTCCAGCCCACGCGTGATCCCGGAGACCCGGGATCGAGTCCCACCTCGGGCTCCCTGTGTGGAGCCAGCTTCTCCTTCTGCCTGTGTCTCTGCCTTTCTCTCTCTCTGTGTGTCTCTATGAATAAATAAATAAAATGTTTAAAAACAAACAAACAAACAAACAAACAACCTGGGCCTCCTGCAAATAACCTCAAGTGAAGTCCTTAGGAGGATCAGAGATTAGAAGTGCAAAGTCTATGGCACGCAGTAGGCCCTTAACTACAGGGATTCTTCTCAGCTGCTGGCTATTCTCTACCTGGGCACTCCGGATTTTTCATTACCATTGCAATATAGATTTGGAATGAGTTGGAAAAGGCCTTGAATGCCATGTTTGTATTATCTGTACTTTATTCTGAGAAAAAAGCAGGTTGCACCATCTCCTAAAAACCCCATGGCATTCTCAGAATCCTTGTGGACAATTGTCTACCTTCCCCAAGCCTCCCAGCTGTGTGACCATAGCCTCAGCCTCCCTGTGCATAAAAAACATGGTCACATTCGAGGTTCTGCAGGGCTTAAATGAAATAGTATTTGCAAAGTACTTAGAACAGTGTCTGGCCCAAGGTCAATGCTCAATCAACTGTAGCAGTTATAATAAATAAAATGACGTTCAAGAGCCCCACCTCATGATGTTGATGGGAGAATCAATTGGAATCAAAGAGGCACTATGCACATGACACAAGCCTGTGTCCCAGAAAGAGGTGTCCTTGATTATAATCACCGTGGGCAATAAGATATGTCTTTAGCCCAAGTCTTACTGTTTTTTGCAAAACAAGGTAACATTAAGGGTACACACTTAATGATAGGATGGAGCCTGATCTCAGAAACATTAAAATATGAAGAGGGTGTGTCTTTGAATTTGAGGAAATAAAGTATTGATAATTAGTTTCACATAATTAAAGAATGTTCTCATAGTCTATTACCAGTTTCCCAAAACTTAGAACACAATATTGCTTACTTAATGCTCTAAGGGCACTGAGCATAATTTAATCTTTCCTTGAAGCTTTTGAATTTCCTTGAAGGCAAGATCAGCAATTTCAAAATACACTTTTAGATCCTCCAGTTCAATGATTCTCAGCCCTGACTACACATTAGCATCCCCTTGAGAGCTTTTAAAAAATAACGTTGACTGGGTCCCATTTCAGACCAATTAAATCTGAGTCTCTTGGAGAGAAGCCTGAGTACTGGAATTTTTGAAGTTCCCCAAGTAATTCTGATGTCCAGAGAGTCTGAGAACTGCTCCTCCCAGCAGTGGCTGAGCCTCCAGTGGATGCCATCTGTATTTGCAGATGAAGCCGAAGAGGTCTGCATGGATGCCATCTGTATTTGCAGATGAAGCCGAAGAGGTCTGCAGAGGCTGGGTCACAAAGAGTTTCACACACGTTTAACAAAACAGACCACATATATAGGGGCTTAAAACAATGATTTCTTATTTCTCCTGATTCTGCAGGTTGGCTGGGCATTTCTTCTGCAGGCCTCACCTGGGCTCCCTCATGCAACTGCATTCATTTGGTGGGTTGGCTGGGGGCTGGCTTGGATGGCACAGCTGGACCTCTTTCAACGTGGTCTTTCATCCTTGATTTGTTCTCTGCATGGTGCCCTCGGGATGGTGTTCTAAGAGAATGGGGGTAGAAGCTGCCAGATCTTTTAAGGTCTAGCTTTGGGAGTCATGTAATGTTATTTCTGCTTCTTTTCATTGGCCAGAGCAATTCAGAAGGCCAGCACAGATTCAAGCACTGGGAAAAATAGGCTCTACCCTTTGATGGGAGGCATGGCAACAGTCACATTGCAAAGGAGTTTGCATTTGATAGGATGAATTTGTGGTCATATCTTGCAGTCTGCCACACAGATGGAAGATGCTGAGGCCTGGCCTAAAGCAGGGGCAGTAGAAATTAATTAATTAATTAATTCGGTCAGTCAGTTGGTCAGGGAGTCATTCATTCAATAAATATTTATTGAATACCACCTGTATAACAGGCACTTTTCTAGGCATTAGGGAGACAGCTGTAACTGACAGTGGCAGAGTCACTGCTCTTGTGGAGCATACAACCTAGGTAGAGAGGCATACCATAAAATGCAAATTGGTACACCATATGGTGTGCAAGCAAAAGTGCTATGAAGAAACAGAAAGCAGGATAAGGGATTAGAGAGGGCTATTATAGATGGAATAGTTAAGGAAGGCCTCTTTGGTAAGTAAAAACAGCGGAAACCTGAATAAAGTGAGCCATACAGATGTTTAGAGATTGGGAGGAAAACAAGGAGTTCAAAGGCCCTGAGGCAGCAATGTGCTTCATGTTTGAGAAACAGCAAAGTCCAGTGTGGCTGGGGCACAGTGGGTGAGTGAAAGATGATGAGGCAGGAAAGGCAGGCAGGGTCCAGAGTGTATGGGACTTTGCAGAGCATGATAAGGACTTGGAGTTTTTATTTCAACTGTAAAGGAAGGAACAATTGGGAGATTGTATGTAAGATTGAGCTTTGTTTCAAAAGGCACATTCTGGCTACTGGGTTGAAAGAGGTTGAAAGCAGGGGTAGGGCCAACTGAGAGGTTATTGCTTGGACAGTAGTTGGAGTGTGGAAGTGGTACATTTTGAAGGCACAGCCAATAGAATTTCCTGAAATGTTGGATATGGGTGGGAGAGAAGGGGAGATTAAGGAGAAATCCAAAGCCATTGCCTTGAACAACTGGGTGAATTGTGCTCTTTACTGAGATAAGGAGGGGACCTTGGGGAAGAAACTGATGAGCTGAGATAAACCAAAAGCTTGGTTTTAGAACATGTTAACTTTGGGACACCTGGGTGGTTCAGCGGTTGAGCATCTGCCTTCAGCTTAGGTCATGATCCCAGGGTGCGGGGATCGAGTCCCATATTAGGCTCCCTGCAGGGAGCCTGCTTCTCCCTCTGCCTATGTCTCTGCCCCTCTCTCTGTGTCTCTCATTAATAAATAAATAAAATCTTAAAACAAAAAAAGAACATGTTAATTTTAAGATGCCTTTTAGACCTGAGCAGGCAGTTAGCCATTGAGTCTGAAGTCCAGGTTGGAGTTTCAGATAGAGATCTGGGTGTTATGTGGAGCTACATCAGATCTTGAGGCTGAATGGATCACTTAAGGAATGAGTTTGACAGTAAGGAGATTTGAAGACTGAGCCCTGAGGCCCTGCAACATTCAGAGGTTGGGCTGAGAGGGAGGAGGATCCAGCCCTGGAGACCAAGAAGGAGTGGCCAGTGAGGTGAAAGACAAGGAGGGGGGTTGGTGGAATCCTGGAGGCCCAGGAAGAGAGTGCTTCTAGAAGAGAGTAGGATCAAGTATTGAGTGCTGCTGAGAAGACAGGTAAGCCGAGGCAGAGAAAGGACTAACCATTTGGATTTGGCAACGGTGATTTTAAGATTAAATAGAGTAGGGTGGAGGGGGTTGAGGAGAGAATTCAGATAATTGCAGACATGAGGCTGTGCTCGCTGGCATTTAGCTGAGAGAAAGTACAGAGTAATGTCTCTATTGTGGAAAAAATTTACTAGGAAGGGAAAATTATCAATGATGCAGGAGAAAGAGGGACAACTGCAGGACCAAAGGCATGTGATCCAGGGGACGGGGGAGGAGGACCTGGTCTTAGGGAAGCAGGGAGGACAGTTCTTGCATTGTATCTGAGTGGAGGCTGAGCACACGGCTCCAAGGCAGGTAGATCGAAGGCTTGACAGTAGGGTGTGGAGAGTCAGGAGGCATTTGGGAAGCAGAACAGAAATGGAAGCAGTCACTTCTGCAGGATTTAATGCATCTCCCAGTGAGACCGGCTCTTATCAACAACCTCTCCCAACACCCCATCTGTGCTGGGCCTGGCGCCAGGCAGAGGGGCTCAGAGATGACTCACCCAGTGCCCCTGCGGAAGAAAGGCTCACAGCCTAAGAAAGGAGACAGCCCCGTAAACTGACAACTTCAATGCAATATGCTAATAATAAAGACGTGTTCCAAGTGTTTTGAGAACTAAGAGGGAGTGAGTAACTCTGCTTGGAAGGGTCAGAAAAGGCTTCACAGAGGTGAGATTTCAATGAGGCTTCCAGGAGGAGAACATTGTCAGGCTGGCTGCAAGAGGAAGGTCTTTCAAGGTGGAAGGAATGGCACGTGAAAGCCTCAGATGAGAAAATCTATTACTGCTTTTTTCCTCCTTGTTCCACCTGCCTCTTTATCTGCCTGCTGCTCTCCTCCCCATTTCTGAGTTGTCATCTCTCAGGCTTGCTCAGTTCAAGAGGAAATTTTTCTTTTTGGGAAGTTTTAATAAACTTCCGCTCAGCCTGTATTGAGTCATGACAAAGGTGTGTTTCACACTTAAACAAACGTCTCAGATGTTATTTTTTGCACTTGAAGAACAAGCTATTTTTAAAGTAATCCAAACTCACAGGGACTCAGCACAAGGACGAGTTCGGTGACCTGTTTTTAAGAAACGAGCTTTGGAAAGGAACAGGGTGACCAGCAGTGGCAGAAAGCAGAGAACCTGGCAATTCTTTCCTTTAAATGTTTCAGTGAGCCAGTGAGTAGTTTCACCTTACTAAGTTGCTCATCTTGGCTATCTGGTCCTCTAGAAAGCTCTTGGGGAGCGTGCAATAATTATCCAGTAACAGACTGAGGGAAGATAAGGACAGCACTCCCTCAGAGGTGGACTGACACAGTGGCGGAGAGGACAGTGAGGATGGGGTGAATTTGAGAGAGGTTTGACCTGTGCAGTGAACCAGGGACAAAGGCATTTCCCTGTGCTCCAGAAGTGTCACCGTACCCATCTACATAGCTTGCCTCCTGCCTGGACGGGCCATTGATTCCTTTCCTTCCAGAACATGCGTTGCGTTCCCACTGAGTCGATTCCCCCACTCCCTTGAATCAATCATATCTGGCCTGTGATTACTTTGACCAACTACACATAGGGGGAGTGACACTGAGCCAGTCCTAGGACTAATCTTTAATAGTCTCGAAGAGCAATTGCTGTGAGAAGCCCAAGATATATGAAGAGGCTGGTATGTGTGGTCCAGCCAACATTTCAACCAAGCTCCCCCACCAATAATTGTGTCAGTTGCCAAGTACATGATTGTGCCATCTTGGATGTTCAGGCCACTGAGCCTTCAGATGAATCCAGCTCCAGCTGACATCTGAGGACAATTGCGTGAGTCACCCCAAGTGAGAACAGCCTGGCTGAGCCCAGTCAACCCACAAGACCAGAAGAGACAATAATAAATTGTTGGTTTAAGCCAGTACATTTTAGGGTGGTTTGTTGCACAGAAGGGGCTAACCAGAGTATCATATATTTTCATCAGTCTTCGCTAACTCTAGGCACTGTGCTAGATGCTTTTCATTTTAATGGTCATGTCAACCTGAAGCTAAGTATTATCCTCCTATTGGAACATGAAACAATGCTCAGTGATGTTTGAGAACCTGCCACATACTACTTCAGCAGGCGTCCCCTGTAGAACATTCTTATTATACATATACATCATTTCATTTCTCCCAACCCTGCCCCTCTCTGAGCTAGCACTCAGAGAGGGATGCTGGACCACCCAAGCTTTCAGCCCGAAACACCTAGCACTGCCTTTGTCCATTTTGTTACAATGGAAACGGCTCGGATCTTTGCCTCGGGAGACCTGGACCTGAGTTCGAGCTCTACTGCTCAATTGCTGTTTTGCTCAGGCAAATCATTTCCCCTCTCTGGGTTTTCATTTCCTTTTCTGAGATACGGGGACTGAACTGGAGTTGGGCTGTTTCTAAAACCTGAGTAATAAATTAATTCCTCCATTTAAAAAACTTTTCTTATAAAAATTTCCAAACCTACTCAGATGCAGACAGCACAGTGAACCTTCATGTGCCCTTCATCTTGTTTTGACAATCATTTCCATTTTGCCGTACTGTATTTAATTCGAGGCCCCAATTTTTTTCCTCCTTACTGGAACATGATACCATATCATCTCACCCCTAAATTAGGGTTGCCAGACTTAGCAAATGACAATATAGGACACTCAGTTAAATTGTGTAACAATAAATAATTTTTTAGTAATGTTTTGTGCAACCTCATATTTTATCTTGCAACTCTACCTTAAATGCTTCAGTTTGCAGTTTTCAAAAGGAAGATTTTATTGTACAACTACAAGGCCATGATGACACCTGAAAAAAATCAACAATAATTCCTTAATGGCATTTAATATATAATATATATCCAAATTTCCATGTTGGTTAGAATATGTCTTGTCTCTGGTAGTTTGTTCAAATGGAAATCTAAAGGAGGTCTATCATTGTATTTGGTTTTAGAGCTCTTTTTTTTTTAAGATTTTATTCTTTTTTTTTAAAAATTTATTTATTTATTTATTTATTTATTTTTTTTATGATAGTCACACACACAGAGAGAGAGAGAGAGAGAGGCAGAGACACAGGCAGAGGGAGAAGCAGGCTCCATGCACTGGGAGCCCGATGTGGGATTCGATCCCAGGTCTCCAGGATCGCGCCCTGGGCCAAAGGCAGGTGCCAAACCGCTGCACCACCCAGGGATCCCTTAAGATTTTATTCTTAAAATAAATCTCTACACCCAGTGTGGGGCTCAAACTTACAACCCTGAGATCAAGAGTCATATGCTTTACTGGCTGAGCCAGGCAGGCACCCTTGTTTGTTAAAACTCTTAAAGTCACTTGTAATCTAGAATAATCCCTTCTTACACCCCTTCCTAGCCCCCCAATTTTCTTTTTTTCATGTTGTTAATTTATTTAAGTAACTGGCCAGTTGTCCTGTAGAAGATTCACGTTCTGAACTTTGCCGACTGTTTCTTTATAGTGTTTCATTTACTTGTTCTTTTAGTCTATGTATTTCCTGTAGGTAAGTTTTATTGAGAAGTTTCATTAGATTCAGATAAACCCTTTTGCCTCAAATAGACATGCATCTCAGTGGGAGGCAAAGAATGTATGTTCATGTAACTTTTAGCGATGCTAACTTTTTTTTAATAAAGATTTTATTTATTTATTCATGGTATACATATATATATATATATATATATATATATATATATATATATATATAGAGAGAGAGAGAGAGAGAGAGAGAGAGAGAGAGGCAGAGACACAGGCAGAGGGAGAAGCAAGCTCCATGCAGGGAGCCCTACGTGGGACTCAATCCCAGGACTCCAGGATCACGCCCCGGGGCCAAAGACAGACACTGAACCGCTGAGCCACCCAGGGATCCTTGCGATGCTAACTTTTATCAGTGGATTCAGGTAGTGACACACTTCTTCGTTGTGATTGTGATTGTAATGTTCCCTATCGATCCTTTGGCTCAAAAGTTTTACCATCTATTGATTGCCTAAATCAGGTATATTATTAGAGTTTGCAAAATAGTGATGAATAGTAATTTCAGCATTCCTTCTGATTTATTAGCTGACGTTCTTTTCTATAGAACTTTTTCTTGGGTGCCTGGGTAGCTCAGTCGGTTAAGCATCTGCCTTTGGCTCAGGTCATGATTCCAGGGTTCTAGGATCCAGTCCTGCTGATTGAGTCCTGCATGAGTCTCCCTGCTCAGCAGGGAGTCTGCTCTTCCCTCTCCCTCTCCTCCTCCCCATTTGCATGCTTTCTCTCTCTCTCTCTCTTGTTCACTCTCTCTCTCAAATAAATAAAATTTAAAAAATAAAAAGTTTTTCTTATCCTCTGGGGTCATTTGGTTTCCTGAAATTTAGTTCATAATAAAAGGCAGAATAAATGCTCAACTTTTTAAAAACAGAATCCTCCAGTTTTTGTTTTATTTTTTAAAGATGTTATTTATTTATTCATTCATGAGACACACACACACACACACACACACACACACACACACACACACACAGACATAAGCAGAGGGAGAAGCAGGCTCCATGCAGGGAGCCCGATGCGGGACTCGATCCCGGGACTCCAGGATCACATCCTGAGCCAGAGGCAGACACTCAACCACTGAGCCACTCAGGCTTCCCAATGCTGAGATTTTCCATTGAAATTTAAGATTATAAGTTTTTTTACTTAACTTCTTTGATATTACATTTGTATCACTTTTGTCCTAAAAATTTTGGATCTTAACAGCACTGATGTCATTACTAAATGCTTTAACCCATGGCAAACATATTTCAAAGTAGCAATACTAATATCATTACTGCAGTAAGACTATTGAGAGTTTAGGATTTTTTTTTAAGATTTTGTTTATTCATGAGAGACAGAGGGGGGTGGGGAGAGAAGGCACAGAGAGAAGCAGGCTCCATGCAGGGAGCCCGAGGTGGGACTCCATCCTGGGTCTTCAAGATCAGGCCCTGGGCTGAAGGTGGCACTAAGCCACTGAGCCACCAGGGCTGCCCAAGAGTTTAGGATTTCTTTGTTGTTTTTTCCCCTTTATCCTTAGAATATATCTCATTAATGATAGTCAAAAATACTTTAAGGGCGTTTAGAGTTATTCTTTTTTCCTGTGTGGTCATATTATCAACCTGATATAAAGTTATGTTCATATTTTGGCTTGTTTTTTATTTTAGGAATTATTTAAAAATTTATGTGATTTAATGATTTAAATATTTACATGAATCATTTATAAGATTTCAAAGTCAAAGTTATCTAGCAAAGCTCATTCAGAGAAGTTTCACTTCCAATCTCTTCCCTTTCACTCTGTTCACTTTCACCCCTATGGAAACCCTTTTAAAGCTTTCTCCACCCTAGCACTATTGACGTTTTGAGCTGAGGATCCTTTGGTACTGGGGGGATGATCCTGCATATTGAAGGATGTTTGGCAGCATCCCTGGTCCCTACTTACTAGATGTCAGTTGTTACGACTAAAAACGTCTCCATACCTTGCTAAATGTGTGTATGTGTGTAGTGACCAAAATTACACCTCACTGAGGATCACCATTTTATAGGGGAGTTTCTTGCTGGCTTGAAAATCTGACCCCTGATCTAAGATATCTGCATTTAACATTAAACTTGTCACTTTAGGCAATTACTTTTACAGCAACGGGAGCACTAAATTTGGCGTGCCAGGAATCATTTACAAGGCGGCTGTCCCAGTGATCCAAAATACACGTTTTATTATTTGTAGGTTGTAATTGAAACCAAGACACACATTTAGAAACTTCTCTTATAACTTGTGACTGCTGAAATGTGTCTACCAAGAGGACCAGACACCTCCGTACTTTCCTTGGCTTTGCAAAATTCTGGGATTAGGTCATTTCTTAGGGCTTTTCTGCTGTCTCAAAGCTTTTGCTCGAAAAGCCTAGGAGCTTACATTTGAAACTGAGGTGGACAGGATAGTAACTGAGAGCCCCCCCCCCCCAAAAAAAGGGCAGCCCCAGTGGCGCAGCGGTTTGGCTCCGCCTGCAGCCTGGGGTGTGATCCTGGAGACCTGTTATGGAGTCCCACACCGGGCTCCCTGCATGGAGCCTGCTTCTCCCTATGCCTGTGTCTCTGCCTCTCTCTCTCTCTGTGTCTCTGAGTAAATAAATAAAATCTTAAAAAAAAAAAAAAGTAATTGAGAGCACCCAGTTGAATCCCAGGTCTCCAAAGTATTGGTTCTGTGACGTAGTACCAAGTGACTTACCTTCTTGGAGTTTTAGTCTTTCCAATGATAAATGAAGATGGAAACTGTACCTACTTCAAAGGATTGTTGCAAGGATTAGAGACAATACATATTAAGTGCTTAATAAACGTTGGCTGTTAGTATAATTACCACCAGGGCTAGGTGGTGGTGTGCCAGGATATACTCAGAGCCACAGGATGGATCAGGAGCATCTTCCTGGAGTGTGAATTTCTACTTGAGAAGTTTGAAAAATAGGCTTTGAATTTTTCTCCTAAAGGGAAATAATCAAAACATTATTTTCATGTTAAAACAAACATGGGAATAGAAGGTAAAGTTTGCATGGATTTTAAAGATAAAACATGAGACTTCAAAGAAATTTTGTTCATGAGGCTGATGAATTTGAGCTCACCCCCAGACCTTCAGGGAGGCTGTCTCCATCTCACTTGCTGTGAGACAGCTTTGGTGGAAGAGTTTCAGCAGTAGCTCTGGGCTATTGTGCCTCTTTGGCCAATGAAAATATCAGGGATCTTAGAAGAAATCCTGTAAGAAGCAGGGACACCCTGACCAGGAATCCCTGCCACTTTCTTGTCTTCTTTGGGATTTGTTTCCTGAGGAAGGGGAATGGGAAAATTTGCTGGGTATTCATTCAGTAAATATTAAGTGCCTGGCATGATTCTAAGGCATACAAGCAGAACAAACCAAACAGTGTGCCTATGTGAAACCTTCAGCTTACTGATCATTCAGTATCAGTAGCTACCATAGCCTTGATAAAGGAACTGAAATGGGGGACAGTCAGGGCAATGGGTTTGAGGTTTAGGAGAAAGAGCTGGCAGTTAAGGACAGTCTCGTAGCATGTGAGACATCCAAAGAAAGACTTTGAATAGACTGTTAAATGAGAGTCTAGAGCCATAGTTCATACATGGGCCTTTTAGATAATTGTGGTAGAGTTTGGGTAGTCATAATGACATTTACTGGGGGGAAGCCAGGAATGCCAGATGTCTTGCATTGCACAGACAGTATCACAGGATCTTTGAATGTTACACTGGACATTTACATAGGGGAATGAGCTGAGCAATGATCTGAGCCTAACTAACTCCATTTTTCACATAGAGACAAAGTATATTCTAGTGTGATTTTGATATTCCAGGGAGGCAAACACTATGCAAAGTGAATGGAGATTATATCTTGTTGTGTCAAGACTCTACCAAGAGTTATTCACCATTTGTGAAAATCAGGTCAGCAACAGTTGTTTTTTGCTGTGGCATTCCAGTCTTCAGTTGGTATCTGTGGCTATTGATTTTGGGTCAATGCTTCTCAATTGTAAGGTCCATGTGATCACCTGGGAATCTTGTTTCCTCCTTCCCTCCCTTTCTTCCTCCCTTAGAATGGAAAAGATTAGTTGGGCAATAGAATCTAAAGAATCCAGTAAGGAAGGAGGGACTGGACCTAACAGAGGAGTAGATTAAAGAGTAAACTTCCTCAGGGCATCCAGGCCCAGGATAAGGACTGGTTTTTGAGAGGGCTGGTTTTTGTAAAAGGAGGGAAGGAGGGAATGGCTGGAGATATGTGGGTAGATTGAGAAACACAGTGGCAAGAAGTTGAAGGATGTCACAACCCCGGGGTCCTACCCCTCACCCAGAGCGTGACTAGCCACCATTCTGTCACCAGCATCTTTCTGTAGAGCTGGCCTATGGTAGGGAGATAGGTACGGAAATGAAGGATAGGGAGACAGGACTGACCTTTCCATTCCCAGGGCAAGTGCTTTGGAAAATAATATGTAAGTAAGATATTATTACTATCGCTATTACTATATTATTGTCATTATTTCTCTAGATCAGTGCTAACCAATAGGACTTTCTGTGATCACAGAAATGTTTTATTTGTTTATATTTTCAATTTAATTAAAAAATTTTTAAAGATTTTTTTAATAACCTGAGCCACCCAGGTGTCCCTAAAGATTTTATTCTTAGTAATCTCTCCACTTTATGTGGGGCTCAACTTACAACACTGAGATCAAGAGACACATGCTTGGGGGGCCTGGGTGGCTCGGTCAGTTGAGCATCTGACTTTGGCTCAGGTCACAATCTCGGGGTCCTGGGATTGAGTTCCACATCATCTTCCAGCTCTGTGCTCAGCATGTTCCTTTTCTTTTGCCTACACCACTCCACCCCCACCCCCCTGCTCATGCTTGTGCTCTCTCTCGCAAATAAATAAAATCTTTAAAAAAAGTCATATGCTCTACTGAGTCAGCCAGGCACCCCAAAAATGTTTTATATCAGTGCTATTCAATATGGTAGCCACTAGCCACATATAGCTATGGAGCACCTAAAGCATGCCTAATGAAACTGAGGAACACATTTTTTTTAAAATAAATTTGTTTTTAATTTTTTTTGAAGAGTTTATTTATTTATTCATGAGAGACACAGAGAGAGGCAGAGACATAGGCAGAGAGAGAAGCAGGCTCCATGGAGGGAGCCCTATGTGGGACTCGATCCTGGGACTCCAGGATCACACCCTGGGCCAAAGGCAGATGCTCAACCACTGAGCCACCCAGGTGTCCCGAGGAACAAACTTTTATTTTATTTTATTTTATTTTTTTATTTATGATAGTCACACACAGAGAGAGGCAGAGACACAGGCAGAGGGAGAAGCAGGCTCCATGCACCGGGAGCCTGACATGGGATTCGATCCCGGGTCTCCAAGATGGCTCCCTGGGCCAAAGGCAGGCGCCAAACCGCTGTGCCACCCAGGGATCCCAGGAACAAAATTTTAAATTAAATCATTTAAGTATTCCTCTTCTCACAATGTGGGGCTCAAACTCATGACTCTGAGATTGAGTGGCATGCTCTACTGACTGAGTCAGTCAGGTGTCCCTGCTTAATATTTATTTATTTGTTTATTAAAGATTTTATTTATTTATTCATGAGAGACACACACACACAGAGAGAGGGAGGGGCAGAGACACAGGCAGAGGGAGAAGCAGGCTCCATGCAGGGAGCCTGACATGGGACTTGATCCCAGGTCTCCAGGATCATGCCCTGGGCCAAAGGCAGGTGCTACACTGCTGAGCCACCCAGGCTGCCCTAATTTTAATTTATTTAAATGTGGTTAGTATGTATTGTATCAGAGAGTAGTGTTGTGTGTTTCCTTTCTCTATCTCAATGTGGTTCTTCAAAGATGAGCTCCCTCTATAGAGGACAGTATCGTTTAGGACCAAGAGCACTGGGCTAGGAGTCAGACCAGAGTTCACTTTCAGCTGTGCCCTTTCCTGGCTTGGTAACTCTGGGCAATTCACTTCCTTACCTGGGCCTCAATTTCCTCTGTTTTCTTCTCTTCAGCTGGGAAATGTGAGGGTCCAAAGAGCTAAGGGTGGTAAGGGACCAGGAACCAGGAAGCACTGCACACTGCTCTCACAGGTTGCCAATTCACCTTCCTTTACCAAGCACCTTTTTTTTTTTAAAAAAAATATTATTTATTTATTCATGAGAGACACAGAGCATGGGAGAGAGAGAGAGAGGCAGAGACAGAGGCAGAGAGAGAAGCAGGCTCCATGCACCGGGAGCCCGACGTGGGATTCGATCCCAGGTCTCCAGGATCATGCCCTGGGCCAAAGGCAAGCGCCAAACCGCTGCGCCACCCAGGGATCCCAACCAAGCACCTTTTATAATAATGGCAGAGTGCTGTGCCAAGTGATGTTCCAAAGATGGTTCTTCACAGAGCCTTTAAGAACTCTATCTATCCCCCTTTGTTGGCTGCTCCCTTCTCTGTGGGCCATTCAATGTTATTTGAGTAATGTACATTGACCTCTGGGGCTACAGGGGTAGGGCAGAGTAGCTGTTTTCTTGCTTTTCTATCTCTAGGGACTAGCACGTACTAGGTTCTCAGGAAATCTTTGTACACTGAATAGATGAAATGACAAGTGCTAGTATTTGAACTTAGGTGATATAGGGGCTTGGTTTAATTAAATGATTCTTAAGATACGTTATGCAAGAGCGTATTCAGTGATATAAAAAGAGGTGTATTTATATTTTTAAGTGAAAAAAATAAAAACTGAAGGTATACTATAATCTCACTTTGTAAAATTTATATATTTATATGCATAGGGCAAATTTGGAATATATATTAATATATATAATTAATATAAATATGATTACTATCACTGGGTGGGATTAAGAGATTAAACACTTTTCTAAAACATCTATTTGATTAAAAAAATGTATCTAATATATCAGAAAAAGCAACAGTTGGGATGCCTGGGTGGCTCAGCAGTTGAGCGTCGGCCTTCAGCTCAGGTCATGATCCCGGGGTCCCCAGATCGAGTCCTGCATTGGGCTCCCTGTGTGAAGCCTGCTTCTCCTCTGTGTCTCTGCCTCTCTCTCTCTCTGTGTGTCTCTCATGAATAAATAAATAAATAAAATCTTTAAAAAAAAAATAGAGACAGAGTAGATTAGGGGTTGCCTGTGGCTGGGAGTGGGAATGGGATTAATAGTAAATGGGTCTGAGGGATTTTATGGGGAATCCATAAATGTTCTAAAACTGACATACTTATGTTGCATTACTAGGTAACACTACTAAAAATCCTTGATATGTGCTCTTTAAATGTATGAATTTTAGGATATGTAAATTTACCTCATGACCTGAGCTGAAGGCAGATGCTTAACCGACTGAGTCATATAATGAATATTGAACCCTTATAATGATCCTAAGAGGTATGCAATATCATGGTCTCACTTGACAGATGAGGTAACTAAGACCTAGAGAGACTGATTTTCCAAGGTCACATAGCTAGTGTGCACAGAACCCGGACCTTTATACTGCAGCATCTCTTCTCCTCCAAGCAGATTCATGTCCTTCTTGGAAACAGCTTTAATGACCTCATTGCATGTGCCTGTGCAGTCCTCCCTAACCCACTCATGTCCTCAAGATGATTACAGTCCAGGGAGGTGACGATTACAATCTAGTGCTATAAGAATACATGGTTTAATGAGCCATGTGCAAAGCACAGTGATTTAGACAATGTGTCTAAAGCAGCCAGAAAGCTTTTGAGAGAACCTGTTCCAAGAACCCCAAGGAGTCTTTCAGGAGGGTAAAGAAAGGTGAGGGTGATTGGAGATGGGGACAGGCTGTAGAAGGGGTTTTGGGACCTAGCCCCTTGCTCCAGTGGCTCAGAAGTGTCACATACTCTGGCAACTCTAAAGTTCAGTGTGGCTGGAGGGTCAAGGCGGCCTAAGGAGGGGCAAAGGGAAGAGCGTGCTCCATGAAACGTAAGGGCAGAGCACCAAAACTTTTTGAGTTAAAGTATTCACACTTTATCTCCCAAACGAAGCAGAGTCGTTAAAATATTTGGATCTGGCACGTTACAAAGATGGAAAGGGACCCGGAAGGGGCTGTTATGGGAGATCCCTCCTGGACCCCCAGCTCTCCAAATCCTGTTGCTGGGTGGTCAGGGTTTTCCCCACCCCAGACGAGGAATTCCTTTAGGGCAAGGACCTTGTCTCATTCACTTGTGCATCCTGACACCCAGCATAGCACCTGACGTGCACCAGGTACTCAGTAAAGGGCCGAACTGGCTGGCAGAAGGCTGTCCCAAAAAAGTCCCAGGGGTAACCTTGTAAAATAAAAAGCAAGACATTATTTTCTCCCTAGCACTGCCCAGATAAGGTGTTCACACAAAGTCTGCCCCACCTATAAGGTCAGACAGGTCCTAGCCTCAAACTCAATCCCGGTAGGTCCGTTGGGTGGGAAAAGCAGAGGTGGTCGCTGACTAAGCGGCAACTTCTGTTCGGTGCCTGCTCTGTGCTGGAAGAATTCACTCCTATTGTCTTTTTCCATCTCTCCAACAGTTCTTAAATCGAAATTATTATCCTAGTTTCCCTACCACAAAACTGACGATCAGAATGGTTCTCTAATTTGGTCAAGGTCACACAGCTGCTAAGTGTGGCAGGGGCGGAGGCTGGGAGAAAATCTCTTACCAAGTCAAAGCCCGCGCGGGCTTCGCCGTCCTCCGTCTGGGGAGACGCTGCGCAGCCTATTCTACTGCTCAGCGTCTGGGGGTGGGAGGCGCCCGCCCCAGGGGCGCGGGCCCGGAGCGGCCGGCTCGCCGCGGCATCCGGGAGCCGCTCCCAGATTCGGAAGTTACGAAGTTTCCGTGCATTTCGCTGGCCTCCCCGCGCAGCTCGTCCCCGCTCCGCAGCACTTACGCTGCTAGCGCAGCGGGGCTCAGGTGCTGCAGCCGGCAGGGGCCTGGCGCCGGGAGCAAGGCAGAGGACGCAGCTTACGTAAGCGCCCGCTCGCAGGTGCACGCGGCCTCCAGCAGCGTGTGGCTCCTGCGCGCTCCCAGGTGCGCAGTTGGCGCAGGCGGCGGTGCGGCACGGCGCGGGCGGGCGCTGGCCGGCGCTCTCAGGTACGGCAGAGTGCGCGTGGAGGGGGCGCGCGGCGAGCGAGGGGGCGGGCTTTCCGTTCCCCAGCAGCCGCGGGCCCGCCCCCGGGATCGGCCAATGGGCGCGCTGGGCGGCGTCACGTGCTCGCCGCCGCCGCCGCCGCCGCTGCCGCCGCCGCCGCCGCCGCCGCCGCCGCCGAAGCCGAAGCCGAAGCGGAGACCGGAGCCGCGAGCGCCACCAGGGCAGCAGCCGCCGCAGCCGCCGCCGCTGGGCTGAGGAGCCGGGGACGCGTGCGGACGAGGTGGCGGCGGCGGCGGAGCGGGAGCGGGAGCGGGGACCGGGCGCAGGCAGAGCGCGGCGGTTCGGGTAGGCGCCTGCGCGGCGGGCCGTCCCGGGCGGGCGGCGGTTGAGGTGGCGGTTGAGGCGGTTGGCGGAGCCGGCCCGGGCCCCGCATTGTTTGTTGTGCGTCCTTAGCAGCGGCGGCGGCCCAGGCGGCGCGGGCGGCCCGGGCGGCCCGGGCGGCGAGCAGGGAGCAGTCCTGGCCGCCGTGGCTCTGGCATTGTGGCCGCCGCTGCGTTGCCCCGGCCGCTGCGGGCAAGGGCGGCGGGCGGCGGGCGGCGGGCGGCCGTCCTCACCCTCGGGGGCACGGGGGTCGCGGCCCCGAGTGAGGGGAGGGGAGGGCGTGGGCGTGGGCGGGGGGGGGGGCCGGCGCGGGGGGCCTCGGTGGGGCTGACGGCGAGGGGCTCCGGGCAGGTGTTGGAGGACAATGGGGGCAGGGGCCGGGAGCAGGGCTGGGGGCCGGCGGAGGGTGTGGGCAGACTTGGGGAAGAATGAAGGGTGGAGGGACCCGGCCCGGCGGAGCGGGAGGGCCTTCGCGCAGGTTCGGGGGCCCACTGGGGCCAGGGCCAGGGCCAGGGCCAGGGCCAGGGCGACGGCGAGGGGCCGCAGGGCGTTGGGCGGGTGGGGGCGGCCGGGGGCGTCGGGGGGGGGTGAGGGAGGACTTGGGGAGGGGAGGGGCGAGTGTGGTGGGAATGCAGGGAGGACAGTGGGGACTCGGGGGAGCAGTGGAAGAAGCGGATGTCCCGGTCGGGGCTGCGCGTGAGGGGCAGGGAGTGGGATGGAAGGAGGGCGCCGGGCAACGTGAAGGGGAACGTGGAGAAGGTGTGCAGGTAGGGGAAGGTGGTGCGGGGAGAGGCGTGGAGGGGTCCAGGGGCCTCTGGAGTGATGGTGAGAGCCGTGGAGGTTTGCAGACGGGAGGCGCCTGTGAGGGTAGGCCCCGAGGCTTCAGAGACCTGAGAGGGACGTGAGGACGGTGCCCGGCCTGGAGGTGTGCAGGGAAGACAAGGAGGGGCAGGACGGTGTTGAGGCTGGACACGTGGGACATGCGAGGGGAGGACATGTTCAGGGAGAAGGCTGGTGTCTCCGGGGAGAGCGGTGCTCCGGGGAGAGCGGTGCTTCGGGGAGAGCAGTGCGGGGCAGGAGGAGGAAGGTAATTGGAGCAGGGCCAGAGTTTGAGGGAAGTGAGGACAGTGGAGCAGGGGGATGGGGATGGAGATGGACAGGAGGTGTACGCGGTATTTAGCGGGTAACAGAAATGAGTGAAACGGAGAGTGTTCTTGTGGGAAGTGTAGATGTGGGTGGGGGAAATATAGATGTAGGTGCAGGAGCAGCAACAGGAAACTGGGGTTGAACATTGCAGGGGACAGGTGGAGTGGAGTATGTGTGAAGTAGAGGGCCATAGGTGTAGGGGGTGGGGGAGGTGTTCTTGGAGTGGCAGCCGAGGTATGAAAACAGATGGGAGAAAAATGTTTTGGGGGCAGACAGTGTGGAGGGAAGACGGGGGGGGGGTGGTACGCGTCTGAAGGGAAATCAGTGGAGGGAGGTAGTAGGGCATGGATTGGAAGGGGAGGGTTGCAGGTCTGGAATACAGTACGCAGAGGGAGGGAAGCAAGGCTCGAGGGTGCTACATTTTGTCTGGTGGAGAGAAGGGGATAGGCAGGGAAGAGAGGGAAGAATGGGGGGAAGACAGGATACTTTTGGGTAGAAGATGTAGAGAAGAATGCATAGTTTATAATGGGGTAAAAGAGGGGCAAGGTAGGGAGGTGTGTGGATGTGTCTGTGACTAGAAAGGGGTATTGGATTGGGGCGATGGTAGGGGAAGCGGGTTGCCCAGGTTTAGGGGCAGGAAATGACTATTCAGGTTGGAGAGAGTTAGGAAAACAGGTTGCTTAAAAGAATGGAAGGAGCAGGGTGCTAAAGAGTGGGGAGAGATTGGGAAACTTTGAGTCCTGAGAGATTAAGGGATTCAAAAATTTTAGGTCACTGGAAATATAAAAAAAAGACAAAATGCAGAAGTTGGAAAATCAAAAACCAAAACAAAAGAGAGGGGATTACATTCTGGATGTAGAAGAACTGAAGAGTGTATGTGGTGTATGTGTGCATCCTGGAGGGATATTAAATGAAAAATGGAGGACATTAAGCCCTGTACATATCTGAAAGTTCATGCCTGTAGGATCCAAGAGATAAGAAGCCCAATTTTAGTTCCAGAACCGTGTGACTAGGGAAGGGATAAGGGAGAGCTGAGTGGTACACACTCCCAAGTTTGGAGGACGTATATGTGGTGGGATTTGTCCTAGTGCCTTGTGCTGACAAATGTGCAGATAGAAGAGCCATACAGGGTTGTGTGGACTGCACCACAAGTGAATAGAAATAGGATTGCAGCAGGTGCAGGGCAGATGCCTTTGTGAAGATACTGCAAGAGAGCAGGGCCCAGCGTCTGTAGCATTTGAAGGCTGTGTATCAGGGAGGAAGGGATACCTTGGTGCAGTGTCTCAGCTACCCTGGTGCTTTCTGGGTAATGGGGCAGTTTTCAGGCTCTGAGTGATGTAATATCTGAGTCCTATGCTAGAGGCAGACAGAGGTAATGTATATCTAGGTCCTGAAAGTAGCAGGAGTTCCTGCGATTCTTTAATTCTCTTTCAAGGTGCAAATAAATAACCGATCCTGGGTTGTCGGCCTTTTCTCCCAAATAGTTCAAGTAAAATTTAGTTGGAGGCTTTTGGATTTTCTGGTATTTTGATTTGAGTTAGGGAGTGTAGTTGTTAGCTTTATTGAGGAAAGACTTTTGCGGTTGTATGGACATACAGCCAATCAGCTTGCCAGACACATAGAAATAACCTTTAGGGGTTTGAGCACAGATATTTCAGTGCAGGTCTCTTTCAGTGTTCTGTGGCTTGTGTTAGATTCTTTGGGATTTGGGAGGATTAAGGAAACTGCTTTGAGACTGCCTTAGTAAGCAGGGTTTTCTAGAATCTTGGAAAACGATTTCCCTTTTGACAGTTGAAAATTCAGTCTTGTCAGATTTTGCAAAAAATAATTTCATCATGTTGCAGAAATAACTTTAATTATCTCTTTGTGGGCTTCATGTAGTGGGTAATGTAGTACCTGGTATGATTTAAAATAAAGGTCTGCTTTGATACCTTGGGAAGCTTTCTGGGTTGATTAGTTTTCTCCTTTTGTCAATTTAGGAAGTATCTTAATGCGTCCATTTTAAGTTCAAATAATAAGTTTGAGTGGAAGTGGGAATCTTGCCTAAACATAATGAGGGCTTAGCAGAACAACACATTTTAAGTAATCTGCATGTGTAAATATAAATATTTGAAAAATAAACTGGGAGCTAATCATTTTTAAAATCCAAATTTAAAGTGCACCATGAAGGCAACAAAATAGTGTTCTGAAGGTATTGCTATAAGAAGATTATATTTTTTTGGAGGGAAAGTTTTTAAACCATAATATGCCTTTCATTGAAATTCTTTGCAGTATTTTGAGGTGTGGTATATGTGTAGAATACAATTATAAGGAGCATGTTTGACCCTTTTGGCTCCCTGGCAGAGAATTTGAGCAGTAGGATATAAGATGAATAGAGTGACCTTTGAAAATTTTCTCCAGTATGGCTATTGTTTTCTCCTTGTATTTTTCAAGTCCTTTGTGTTAGTTCATTTTATTGATTTGGGGCAAGCAGTATTTTCTTGCTCAGAATACTCAATTCTGGCAGGGTTCTGATAGATGTATTGTTCCGTGAAGTTCTATGGTTTGGATACTTTGTAGGCACTTGGAAATATTGTCCTAAGTTTATGAACCAAGGAAAGCAGGTTTTATTTAGACTTTGTAGGCTAAATAATTGGGTCCGGTTTTATTTTCACTGGTGACTTGCTGGACGAGATACTTAATCCCTTTGTGCTGGCTTCTTCTCCAGAAACCTGACTCTGTCTACCTCCCATGAGAATTGAGATGATTTATATTAAAAAAGTTTTAAGTCTTTCAGGAAGATTAGAACTATGTAAATATGGGGAATAGATGTTATTTCCTTAGCTCCTTTTTTTCTTTTTGTCTTGGTCAAATAAGAGTTGGTACTTCAAAATTTGGCATTAGGTGGGTTAATAGTGCAAAACTTGGATAGAGATGAAACTTCTGTGAATGTCAGAGATGTCTGCAAATTGAAGTTTGTTCATTCTTTGCTCTCCTGTCTCATCTTTTCTGGCTCATTTCTGCAGTTGAGTGTTGGTGCGGATTTGAATTCTTGAGTATGAGCAGAAGATTGTGTGAGAGACATTCTACATTGTGGCTATAGCCTGGGATTGCTTCTAAGCTTGAATTTCCAGAGATGGGGCATTTCTCTCACTCAGTGAATTCACTTTCTTTCTTTCTTACTTTCTTTTTTTTTTTTTGAATTCATTTTCTGAATCAGGAGTAATAAATACATTTTCCCACATATTTTGTAGAAAATCAAGTAATTTTCAGTGACTTGAACAGAAAAATAGAGCTATCCCTCTTCTAGTGGCATTAAACCCCCTCCTTTAGATTTATTGAATACTTTTTCCTCTTTTAAGTTTTAGTTCTCAAATACCCATTCTTTTGACATTTTCAATCCTGTTGACAGGTTATGCTTTATTTGAGGAGGAATGATATTTAAATGCTTTAAAAATGTTTATTAGTTGTAAAAAACATCAAGATGCTGGTTATGATTGGCATTGCAAAAATGTAAGTAGTAAGTTTCTTTTTAGACATTCATTTGCTTGAGCTTAGTAATACCCAGCCCTGATAATATTTCTGTGCTAGCTGACTTTTTTTTTTCTTTCAGATTTTATTTTATTTAAAAGATTTATTTATTTTAGAGCAGAGGGAGAGAGAATCTCAGACTCCTCACTGAGTGTGAAGCGCAAAGGGGTTGAGATCATGACTTGAGATGAAACCAAGAGTCAGACACCCAACTGACTGAGCCACTCAGGCAGCCCTTTATTTATCTTTTATTTATTTTTTAAAGATTTTATTTATTTATTCATGAGAGACAGAGAGAGAGAGAGAGA